CACGTGATTTTCAAAAGATCGGAATCGGGAGGAAAAAAATCGGTGATCGGGATTTTTTATTTTTAATACTTTTTTTTATTTTTTTATTCAATGTTACAAAACAAAAATGACCATGTTCAAGTCTTAAAGTCATCCTGAGGCCTTAGTTTTGGTTTCAAATTACACAACATCCTGGTTGCTTATTTCTCTCAAATCTGGCAACAGAGTGGGCGCAGTGTCTAATTGTAGCAGTAAGCTAACGAGTACTGATAAGCTTTATTTTGTTTTGATCCAATGCTGCACAACTGAACTGATCCAATGCTGCTGTGAAAGAAAGAAGCTATATCCATGTTGGATAGAATATCAAATTTAAATAAAAAAATAACCTTAAGGGACAACTTGAATGCTTTTTTTCTCTTAATGCATTGCATAAAGATCGGATCGGGAAAAATCGGTATCGGCAAATTGTCAAAATCAAATGATCGGAATCGGATCGGGAGCAAAAAAAGGTGATCGGGACATCCCTATCTCCTATTATACTGTTTTCCATCAATATATCACAGGTCAAAGATATATACAGAACATGTCTCTGATTGGCTGAAACACCAAACAGATCATTGCAGCATTACCCATAATCCATAAGATTTTGCATTATAGGTGACCTTTATAAAACACTGGTCAAATCATACTTTTCACACACTAAAAGTCATGGCACCTACCGGTCCCACTGTCCAATGCAGGGTCCGCATGCGTTGGCGAGGACAACACCTCCAACATCTCCCAGGATCTTTGACTACAGGAAGAGAAACACACATTTTAGTTTTTTTTATTTACCGAGACCTACATCTTCTCCCTGCTTTCTTTGTGCTCCAACACTCACATATCCGTCTCTTTCGATGGTGGCACGGATCTGCTCGGAGCCGGGGGTGACGGTGAAAATAGCTTTGCACTTCAGACCTTTATCCAAGGCCTGCTTGGCCACAGAGGCGGCGCGGCCCATGTCTTCGTAGCTGGAGTTGGTACAGCTGCCAATCAGACCTTAAAAAGGGGAAAGATGGAATCTCAGAGAACGTCATGCTAAAAAACAACCAATCATTTGCATGCCTATTGTTGGGAGAATACTGAGTGTCCTCTTCCAATCTCAGAGTACACATGGTAACAAAGGTATCCCAACTGTAGCTGTGAACATGACAGGATGTGTGATTACCTAGAAGAGCATCAGGACTGTTTGAGGCATATGATAGCTATGTGATTAACATGATGATTCAGCCTCTATGGAGAGAGACATATGACAAGACATGATCATTTCTGACGTGGAGCTAATCTGAAGTAAACATTGAATACTGCTTTCTATTCCTCCATCTTGAGACTGTGGAACTCCCTCTCTTGGATATCAGCATGTGAAGGACACTGTTCAGGAACTAGTTGATGCTCTGTATGTGATGACTACTTCCATTCTGGAGAGGATCACAGATACATGGATCCTGAGATTCAAGCTCAAGCTGATGACCAGTGATATTTTTCTAACACCTATTTTCAAATGTAGAGCGATATGACTAAAGCTTAAGGTTCTTACCAACTTTAACCTCCATTGGCCAGCCGTGCTTCTCAGCCGCTGCTCCGATTTCAGACACAGGGTGAGCCAGGTCGGGGGTGAAGGGCCCGTTGATGTGGGGCTTCAGCTGCAGACAGGAGCAACACAACATTCAAGATACTCATTCTCAGATAAACCTCACTCTGTAATTGGAAGTTATAAAGAGAACCTCTCCCTCAAACATTCTGCAGCAGATTGTGGCCGTTATGTTTAATTGTAAGGGTGAGGGTGCAACGTGTATTTTAGAGACGTAGAGAAGCCTTCCAGCGCTGGTTACAGACACACAGAAGAATCATGTTTCCACCAAGAACTGGATCTAACAACTGATGAGGTCATTATTTTACAGAACGAAGTGAAAGTATTGAACAAAACTCACTTTTTTTTACTAGTTTCTTGTTATTTTACACATTAAATATTATAAAACAATCTAGTTTATTTTAGCAAAATATAAAAAAACTACAAGGTAGATCAAATGTTCTGTGGTAAAGTCTGGTTTCCCCTCACATCTTGTGTTAAATGATTCCTGGTCAGAGCCCTTTCTTTGATGTCTCTCCCTTCATGTATTTCATGCTCCTTTGAAGTATCCAATGAAAGCTGAGAGATCATAAAAAAGGAAAAGAAACAAGGACAGACCTCGTCCAGATTGAGCTCGATGAGCTCGTCGTACTCGCAGCCTTCATCAGGAACCAACAGGTCGGCGTATTGATCGGCCACAGCAGCGATATCTGCGAAGAAACAATTTTGTTTAGAATCAGTATTACCATATAATATAATACTCTTTGGAATTCATTTTCATTCATAACTTAAGTTTTATTCTATTTCTGAAAAATTGGCATTGCAACTTAAGAAACTAAACTGATCTATGTGTGCCCTGAACATTTCAATAAACAAAACTGTGGGGAAATAAAATAAATACATATATTGTATGACTGAAAGCCCTAAACACACCCCCCCGTCCGGTCTTCTCCAGGTACGTCTTCATGCGGTGGTTGTAGGGGAACACTGAGGTCGTGGCTCCGATCTCTGCTCCCATGTTGCAGATGGTGGCCATTCCTGAACACAATCAAAACAGATGAATATTAAACATAGAAAGACATGGCTAAAGAAACTAAGTTATTCAATTGTAATAAAGTGTGTAACCGACCCTGCTCTGCTAAAGATGTCACTGATTGGGTAAAATGCTTTTATTTATTTACTAAAAGGTGGGGTATGTAATTTTGGAGAAACCAGCTCGAGTGCGCTAGAATTTGAAAATACACAGCCGGAAAAAATCTGCCACTTCCTTACAGAGCCCCTCCTCCAACACACACGAGCGCGCACATGACCAATGAGGGCATGAGATAAGTTTGTGCACAGATGGAAAGCTGACAGGCAGGTAGGCCAT